CCAATACCTGCAACTTCCAATAGTCTAGGCCCAGTGCGCAGATTATGGGGCACAGTTGGGTTTCAATGGGGCTGCAGCTATACATTACTTTAATAAGGAGTGTGGGTGGTTGGCGGGTGCTCTGGTGTGGTTTGATCCTTCTTTCCTATCAAACATCTATCGTCCTTTTCTCCCCTTCTTCTTTTTTTCTGTTTGTTACGATGCTGCAACGTGTTTCGACAGGGACGTAAAAAGTGTTGTCAACTAGAAGAACGGGGCTCCGGTCAGGGTGCTGATGGACGCACCGTTTGTTTTTTTTTTATTAAAAAAAAATATTTTGGTAAGTGTTTTACTACGACGTTTGCTACTGCATAAGACTGTCATGTGAGCGCGCGGGACACATTAAACATTTTTCAGTTGGTAGGAAATTTTTGAATTTTGCCCGGGTGCCGAAGCCTACTCTTATCGATTTTGGACCACCAAGGGATCTTTAACGTGCACTACTCGCACACGGGACCTCCCGAGATTTTTCGCCCTTGTCCGAGAAGGCTAGGTGTAGATCTTTCCTGCCAGAAGATCAGGGGTGTGGCTGAAAGACAGCAGTAAGAAGGAGCCAAGGAGGAGCAGTAGAAGAGCCGAAGGAAGAGTCAGGAGCCCAGAGGAGGGGGGCAAAGGGGGTGAGGGGGTGGTGGCAGAAAGGGGAGACGAAAGCAGACTACGAAACGTTATTAGAGAACAGAAAAGGAGGTGAAAGAAGACAATTTAGAGAAGAAAAATTTCCGTCGCTATCCGGGCTCGAACCCGGGACCTATTGAATGAGAGGCGAACATCTCAACCTCTCAGTCACGCGAGCCCCAGCACCGTTCAGTGTCGGCTTCAGTGGTGGTCAGATTATTACTAAAACGAAATTTATCACGGTGCATTTTTTGGTGTAGTTTGGTACCCGCTTGGGCCACATGCGGAAGCTGTAGGTTCGTCGAATCCAACTAGGAGGTTCGGAACCAAGCGGAGTTCAAAATTTGTTCTTTCTTTTATAATTTTGTCTCCTACTGATATTTATGTGCTTGCGAGGTGAGCTCCATGTTCAAAATGAGGTTTCTTTTCTGTTTATCATAAAAGATTAAAAAAAACACACACCCAGATAGTGGGTGGTTGGCGGGTGCTCAAGTGTGGTTTGCTTTCTCTTTCCTATCAAACATCTATCGTCCTTAGCCCCCTTTATTTTTTATGTTTGTTTCTCTCTTGTAACACCTCTAATCTTCTGGCGCTCATATGACCTTATAATAATAATAATAATAATAATAAATAGCATTTATACTGCGCATTTCCATTTCCTAAAAGATGCTCAATGCGCATTACAATGAAAAAGACATCACATCTTAAAAATTAATCGACACAAATGTGTACGTAAAACAAAGTATTATACATATAATATAAATGCATATGTGTAAAATTTTATACCAGAAAAACAGTCTCGCAGTGTGGTTGAAAATGTGTTCACTAAAAATATACAATGCAATATAAATTCACGAACAGTCAAAATACAGTTGAAACGTGAGTAACTAGAAACATTCATTAAAACATTAATTCTATACAGATAGAAAAACATTTCCACTCTATCTCTCTCTCTCTCTCTCTCTCTCTCTCTCTCTCTCTCTCTCTCTCTCTCTGTCTGTCTGTCTGTCTCTCTCTCTCCCTCTCTCTCTCTCCCTCTCCCTCTATCTCTCTCTCTTTCTCTCTTCCTCTCTCGCTATCTCTCTCTTTTCTCTCTCTTTTCTCTCTCTATCTCTCTCTTTTTCTCTCTCTCATTCTCACTCGCTATTTCTTCAGTCTCACAGTCTGGCATACACATGCATATATATCACAGTACATCATTATGACAGGTATGCTTTTGTGAATAAAAAATGCTTCAGCTGATTTTTGAAAATGGAAATTGTTGGGGCAGATCTTATTTTATATGGGATTTCGTTCCATACCTGGGGACCAAAGAACAAAAAGGAACGCTCGCCGTATGTTTTGTAGTTTTGTTTTGTAGTTTTAAGAATTAGATTGTCAGAGGCTGATCTAAGGGCTCTAGGTGGATTATATAATTCCAGGAATGTTTTAAGATAAAAAGGTGCACTATCATTTATACATTTAAAACAGAGAACGGCAGTTTTGTATTTAATCCTTTCTTTTATTGGCAGCCAGTGTAGTTCTTTCAGAATTGGTGTTACGTGGGCTGATTTCTTTTGTTTCATTATCAATTTTGCTGCTTGATTTTGAACCTTATGCAGTTGCGAGTGCTGTAAAACCTCTACTAAAATAAATACACCCAGATACTAATCTTTACCAGTCATTGAAAAAAAATTATGATCTATTCAACATAAAGATAAAAAGCAGATGCTTTACCAGTCGGTAAAAAATGGTCTGTTGAGCTTAAAGATAAAAAGCTGATATGCTTTACCAATCATTTTTATAAGGGATGGGGGGGGGGGGGGGGGTTATTATGTAATACATGCACGTGTTTCGTATCTCGCAGATAACTTACGTAAGCAGTTTCCCCGCGGAACAGGGCTGAGCTATTCAATAAAAGGACTGTTACCTTGACAAGCGCGGCTCTTAATACGAATCTGATCTCGGGCTTGTGTTGACACACTCGCGTACCGTGAGCTCGCCGTACGGATTAAATTCCATCGTGTCTGGATAGATAGACTAGGTAGGTACGGCACGTGTATTGATTGACCGATCCATCGTGTCTTGATTGGTAGGTTGGTACGGCACGGCGCGTGTATAGACCGCAGTTGGGTTTCTTTATACGTCGTAATTGCTCTTTTTTGTGTCACACAACTCGTGCGAGACATGCACTCAAGGCTTTTTATCCGCCCTCTTTTATAGTCATAGAGCTATAGTCCTCCTTTCCTATCTGTCTTACTTTTTGCACTGGTAGGTCCTACTTCTTTACTTTCCCTCTCTGTCATTTCTGTCTGTCTGTCTGTCTGTCTTATTTTTTCTCAAACTAAATGACCATTATTGTATTGATGTGCTTCTCTTTACTCAAACAAACAAACAGGGGGCTCTCGTGGCCTAGAGGTTAAGGTGTTGGCCTCTCATTCCAAGGTCCCGGGTTCGAATCCGGGTAACGACCAAACATTTTTTTTCTCTAAATTTGTCTCCTTTCACCGCATTTCCTGCTCCCTATCAATGTTCTGTCGTCTGCTTTCGTCTCCTCTTTCTGCCCCCACCCCCTCACCTCCTTTGCCCCTTCCTCTGGGCTCCTGATTCTTTCTGCAGCCTTTCTACTGCTACTTTTTCGCTTCTTCTTACTGCTGTCTTTGAGCCACACCCCTGATCTTCTGGTAGGAAAGATCTACTCCTAGCCTTCTCGAAAGATCTACACCTAGCCTTCTCGGACAAGGGCGAAAAATCTCAGAGGTCCCGTGTGCAAGTTGCGCACGTTAAAGATCCCTTGGTGGTCTAAAATCGATAAGAGTAGGCTTCGGCCGCCACCCGGGCAAAATTCAAAATTTCCTACCAACTGAAAATATTAGGTGTGTCCCGCGCGCTCATATGACCTTATGCAGTTGCGAGCGCCGTAAAACATTTTACAAAAACAAACAAACAAACAAACAAGAAAATAAACAAATAAACTGTGGGTGGTTGGCGGGTGCTCTGGTGTGGTTTGCCTCTTCTTTTGTTTTTTAACTTTCTTATGACCCCTCAAGTCTTCGGTGTGGGTGGTTGGCGGGTGCTCTGTGGTGGTTTGCTTCTTCTTTCCTATCAAACATCTATCGTCCTTATCTCCCCTTCTTCTTTTTTTATGTTTGTTACTCTTTTGTAACACCTCTGATCTTCTAGCGCTCATATGACCTTATGCAGTTGCGAGCGCCGAAAAACCTCTACTAAATCTAAACTAATCTTCGGCACTTTTGTGTTGCAAGTGCCGTAAAACCCACTCTAAAACGTATAATAATATTCCCTTTCTAGTGCCGGCGAAATCGGACTTGTTAATTTGCTTTTGCTCTCTTCTCAAACAAGCACTTACTAGCGTCGATTTTTTCCCTTTCTCATCTCTGCAGATTTCTTTCATCAAGCCACGGATCCAGCATTAACCTGGAGACCAGCAATGTCTTAACTCTGCAAGACAATCGTCTTCAGTGAAATTATTCATCTCACTGAAAGTACACTGTTCAACTCTACAAAGTCAAAAGTCTCCAATCAAACCTCGCTTACAGCTTAACTCGGCAAATTCGGGGTCTCAAGTCAAACCTGGCACACAGCTTAACTCTGTAAAGTCAAGGTCTCCCGTCAACCTGGCACACAGCTCAACTCTGCAAAGTCAAAGTCTCCAGTCAAGCCTCGACTATCAGTCAGGCCAAAGCCATTTTTCAGGACTTCATAAGACATTTCCCTCCAGCGTCCGTCGTCTGAGTGAGCACGATGAGCCAGGACCTGTGTCGTTGTGGCAGCCTGAGCTTCCTCACCTACCTGCTGGTCATCCTCTTTGGCGTGTCCTCATGGGTGAGTTGTTTTTTTTACTTTGTATCTAGCTTTAAGAAGATTCATTAATATGTCTTTTTGCTTTGTGTGTAGCTTTAAGTAGAAGACTCATTTGTTTTAAGTCTTTTTGCTTTTGTGTGTAGCTTTAAGTAGAAAACTCATTTGTTTAAAGTCTTTTTGCTTTGTGTTTCATCTTAAGACATCATTTGTTTTTAAGTCTTTCGTCTTTCTTGCTTTGTATTTGGTCGCTTTTAAGGGCTATCGGGCTGACCCAGATTTCGGGGTTTTCCAGAAATCTTGACCTACACCAAAAGTGTAGGAGAAGTTTGGTTTCATTGGTGTGTATATTTGTTTGGTTATAGAGAAAGCTCTCCTTGTCTTTTAAAGAAACTAAACAAGGGGCAAAAACTTAACCTTCGATTTTCTCAAAACAGCATTTTTTTGGGATAGCCCGCTTGTGCTTAAAAGCGACCAGTTAATCTTCCGACAGGGACGAGCTGTTGCGGAGCATTATTTCATACTGTTTATATTACAATAATTCAGTTACCCTATATAAATCATTATTGTTAACGCTGTGCCACGCAGAATACTAGGCCTATCAGATATCTCCACCTCCCCCTGTGCCCCTTTCACTAGCAAAAAAAATTACATTTTTGTTGAAGTATAGTCAAGCCTGTTCAAAAGGCCAACTGAATAAGACAAATCACTAGTAGTTTTGTAGACTGACTTGAAGCTTAGGCTAGACTCAAGTGTATCATGCTGGTGATTTGATTTGATGATTTGACATAGTGATTTGAGGCTTGTGACTTGAACTAGGGGCTTGCGGGCACGCGCGGGTTTGCTGCCGGGGGTACAGCTCTAGTATGGACGCCTGTACAAACGGCCACTTCCCTCACGTATTTTTCTACATGTTAATGACACTGTGCGAGACGTCCACACGTCTGACAACCAACTTTGCTCCTCGACAATGGATGGCTGCGTCCTAACCCTATCCGTGCGTCGTGTTTTACTATAGTATCCATACGACGTGGGGAACTCTGTGCCACCACTTTACCCTATCCGTATGTCGTGTTTTACTATACAATGTAGTATCCCTACGACGTGGCGAACTCTGTGCCACCACTTCCAAAAAGGAAATTTACTCGTTAATCCGATCCGTACGCCCTGGGGTCGTTTTGTACCCCGGGGTTGTATTCTTCACATTTTAGAATACTTCTAGTTGTTGTTTTTTTTTAAGTTTTAGTAAGCGCTTTACAGCACTTGCAACACACTAAGGTCATATAAGTGCCGAAGATTAGAGGTGTTATAAGAGATTAACAAACTCAAAATAAAAGGAGAGGACATAAGGACGATAGGTGTTTGATAGGAAAGAAGGAGCAAACCACACCAGAGCGCCCATCAACCACCCCCACAATACTTCTAGTGCGAAGATCTCTATGAAACTTTCAGTATTTCTCAAAAATCATTTTGACAGACTGCTATGCAAAGCGCACGGATCGAGTTAACGAGTAAATTTCATCTTTGGAAAGTGGTGGTACAGAGTTCCCCACGTCGTATGGATACGAGAGTAAAACACGACGTACAGATAGGGTTAAGAGGTGGCACAGAGTTCCCCACGTCGTAAATTATGTGGAGTGCATAAAACCCCGGGGACAGATGCTTGTATTTTTGTTTTCCACTCGGGAATCGAACTCTGGTTGCCCGCGTGTGCGACATCGAAGCACCTACCTAACCGCTACAACACACACGTTGGTCAAACCTGGGTGAAGCGAAAGAACTGTGCACAGAGGCTTAGCCCGAGGACAGAGTATTCTAATTAAATTCCTGCATGTGGTTGAATGATGCGTCTGATGTGATATGTGTACTTTTTGTCAGTTTTATTTCTCTTTTCATACTGAATTTTAATGAGAGTATATATACATATATATTTATTTTTTTAATGTATACCTGCATGTGTGTTAACGGTCCTGTACAGCCAAGAAAAATTTCCCTCTGGGCAAATAAAGTATTATCTTATCTTATATCGTATCTTATCGTATCTTATCGTATCTTATTGTTGGACCCAGACTGGAGTTTAAACTCATGATCTGACGGTTTGAATCCGGCAGCTCATTCATCACGAGACACTATTGTGTCGGTTGTCTCGTGATGAATGAGCTGCCGGATTCAAACCGTCAGATCATGAGTTCACCCAGGTTTGACCAACGTGTGTGTTGTAGCGGTTAGGTAGGTGCTTCGATGTTGCACACGCGGGCAACCAGAGTTTGATTCCCGAGTGGAAAACAAAAATACGAGTATCTGTCCCCGGGGTTTTATGCACTCCACATAATTTAGCAAAATTTGATCACTTTTTGCGTAATTTCTGATTATTTTCCTTTATCATTCTTTGTTAAAATTAACGGAATCGCATAATTTCACATTTTTGGGCCCAGTTTGCATAATTTCAGATTTGTTTTTTTTTATGCATACAACCGCGGAGACAGGAGTGTCTCGGTCTTTTTGCAGGGATGCTGTATATATATATATATATATCCCTCTCAGCCCGGGTTGGCCTGCCAGCAGGTCTGGATGGAAACCCGGTTCCTAAATGATTTAAACTTTGTCTATGGGTGCATAAAGACACACATTATAATATAATACATTTAACAAAAATTCAGGTCAAAATGGGTACTCAGCTATGGACAGTGAAAGATCTCGTCACTATGTTTCTGTTTTAGCGCCCGTAAAACGACAGCTTACGTTAGATGGTTCTCAGTAAATGTGTGTGTGTGTGTGTGTGTGTGTGTGTGTGTGTGTGTGTGTGTGTTTGTTTGTTTGTTTGTGTGTGTGTGTATATATATATATATATATATATATATATATATATATATACATGTACAAGTCTGTCTGCGTGTTCTAACGTTTCATTGTACTAAGAAGTGTTATAGCCAGCTTTCTAGTAGGGATGCTCTGTTTCGCTTTTCATGTAAGTGTAAGATGATAGTTTTGCAAAATCCATACTGAATTCCCAGTCCCAGTGGATGTGCTGTTGTTAGGCGTGTAGGCATATCATATTATTATTTTATTATATGTATATCTTTGAATTCCCAGTCCGCAGTGAATGCGCTATTTGACGTTTGTAATACATTTATATATAACGCCGTGTATCTTTGGATGGCAGCCAAATCGTTGAACTAAATATTAGCATGAGCAGCTAACATCATCATAGGAAAACTACACGTATGTCGGTTCTACTACGATTACGGTTAATCTTATTGGATAATGCGCTATCATATTTATCAATTCTGTTAAGACTATATTCCAACTCGCAGTTTATGGTCATCAGCTGACAAAAAGAAATTTATTTTACCCTCTATGAAACTTAAAACAATTAGTGAAAGGGCATTTGAATACCAAGGCCCCAAGATCTGGAATGCTATACCAAGCACTTCAAGAGGGATCAAAATATAAATCGTTTGATTCATTCTAATGTCAGCTGAAGTCTTTTCTGTTTTTTAGTAGAACCATTTAGTAGAACAGAAGCATCGCGGTAGACCTAACGATCTAATTTCTTACCTGCCGATCTCATTGCTTACCTGCCGATCTCATTGCTTATCTAAATATCTCATTACTTACATGTCATATTGTAAGGTACTGCATGCCTGATCCTTACTATTGTCATTGTCATTTTCCTCTACTTCTTTTGTATGTTTGTCACTCTCTTGTGACCTGCTATTTTGGGGTGCCTTGATAGTCGAAGCAGACCTTGTGCTGTTGAAGCTAGAGTGGTGAGCAGTCTAAGTCTGATTCCCTGTAAAGACTTCTCTGTTGACACCCTCCCCTTGGCGCTCATATGACCTTAAACAGTTGCGAGCGCCGTAAAACCTCTACTATAAAAAATGAGCTGTAAAATGACAATGACAATCTTTATAATTCATCTCGCTGTGAGAAATTTGTCTTGGCCGTTAACAATGGCAAAGTTGACGTTACAAAGGTTCGGTGCACTCACGCATACGCACAACAAGACAGGACATTAGTAAATACTTGTCTCACGTGCTGGGACAACCCGCTCCGTAAAACACGCTCTCTCTCTCTCTCTCTCTCTCTCTCTCTCTCTCTCTCTCTCTCTCTCTCTGTTTCATATGTTGCTCTGTGTTCAGTAACCTCACTGCAGTTGGTACGAATGAATTTGTAAATCAGTCAGTTCTTGCTTTTTTGTAAATGTATCCTTTACTGCGGGTGGATAATTGAAATTCCGAAGTCAGTGGGTGGCTATGGTCACTAAGCACTATTTCCGCCTTTTTTTTTTTTTAGAACGTTTGTCTTGTGCAGATATTCAAAGTTACCCAGGTCTCTACCAATTGTTCTTGATGCCTTTCTGATCAACTTGTTTATTTTTATGATGTGCTGCCTTCCCAACTTGCTATGTGAACACGACCTTGTCGCCCCAGGAGCAGCGCCAAAAAACCCCAAAACAAACCCCAAACAACTCAGATCCCTTTTATAGTAATGTCTTGATCATTTCCCAGGTGGACATCAATGGACTATGGGTGGAGCTGCCGATCCTGGTTCAAAACCTGCCAGAAGGCTGGGACCTCCCGTCATATATGGCTGTCATCATACAGGTGAGGTGGAGATAAAAGCAGAATTCGTGGGTGGTTGGCGGGTGCTCTGATGTGGTTTGCTTCTTCTTTCCTGTCAAGCATCTATCGTCCTGATCTCCCCTTCTTTTTTATGTTTGTTACTCTCTTGTAACACCTCTTAATCTTCTGGCGTTCATATGACCTTATGCAGTTGTGGGTGCCGTAAAACCTCTACTAAAACCAAACTAAAGGTGAGGTTGTTGTTGATGCTGCTGTTGTTTTTGTTGTTTTGTTATTGTTGTTGTTGTGGTAGTGGTGGTGTTGGTGTGTTGGTTGCGGCGGTTGGGCAGTGTTGGTGTTGGTGGTGATGGTGATGTTGGATGGACATGGTGGTGGTGGTGGTGGTGATGATGGTGAGATGGTGTTAATGTGGTGGTAATGGTGAGATGGTGTTCATGTGGTGGTGGTGATGGTGAGATGGTGTTAATGTGGTGGTAATGGTGAGATGGTGGTAATGGTGAGATGGTGGTAATGGTGAGATGGTGTTCATGTGGTGGTGGTGATGGTGAGATGGTGTTCATGTGGTGGTGGTGATGGTGAGATGGTGTTCATGTGGTGGTGGTGATGGTGAGATGGTGGTAATGGTGAGATGGTGTTAATGTAGTGGTAATGGTGAGATGGTGTGGTTTGCTCCTTCTTTCCTATCAAACATCTAACGTCCTGATCTCTCCTCCTTCTTTTTTATGTTTGTTACTCTCTTGTAACACCTCTAATCTTCGGCACGTGTATGACCGTACTGTGTTGCAAGTGCCGTAATACTCTTACTGAAACTAAAATGCCACAGAAGCAGGTCAAAGGGTCGTCTAATGACGGTGAAATATAAATAAAATAGATCATATCTAACTGTCTATCTTTTTATCCTATCTTCGTATCCACAGATTGCAAATGTCGCTCCGTTTGTGTACACGGTGGCGACGACCTTGTGGCCTCACCGAGTCCTTGAGCTTCCCGTCATCTACCTCATCATCTCCGTGGGCGCGGTCTCGTGTCTGCTGCTGGCCTTCCTGTGGGACTTCACCTCGGTGATTGCCGGCACGGAGCACAGCACCGCCCTGTTTGTGCTGCAGTTCTTCTTGGCTCTTGTTGACTGCACTTCCTCCGTGGCCTTTCTACCCTTCATGTCTTTGTTGCGGCCGGAGTACATGACCGCTTACTTTATTGGCGAGGGATTTAGTGGCCTGGTTCCTAGCCTAGTGGCGCTGGGTCAGGGTGCGGGCAGCATGGAGTGTATTAAAGTTCCCATAGGGGGAAACCTCAATGCCACTAACACGTCGATGTACGAAGGCAACGTTACGATGAATGTGATGGCAACAAATCTTTCTCAATATTCTCAGATAGAATTTTTGGCAGGTCAGAACGTCAGTGAGCTGATGAACTTGACACTCCCAACCCCACCTGCTCTCTACTCTACATTTCCAGTGTACAAAGAGCCAAAGTTCACTGTGAGAACCTTCTTTCTGTTTCTCATGTGTCTCCTGATTTCAAGTGGCATTGCTTTCACCCTGCTCAATTTTTGCTCGCACTGTAAGCGAGATCATGTGGTTGAAAGCGACTGTGCCATGTTGAGGGATGAAAGCGTTCAGAGCAGCTTAATGGAGACGACTGTAGATGCTATTGGAGAAATTGTCCCTCTTAATGATGAGGAAATGTCTCCTAACTACGATAAAATAAGCCAGGTACATTTTAATAATAAGGGAAACGCTAAACATAACATTGTGCTGGATTCGGAGCATTCCAACCGCAAGTATTCGAAAGATGTTGTGTCAGCTATCTCCTCGAGCGAGTCGATGACTGCCAGCTTCAAGAAAAAGGGGTTCAAAATGCCTTGGATGAAGTATGCGCTCTTCTTGTTTTTGACGGGCTGGCTCAACGCACTGTCCAACGGCGTTCTCCCCTCCCTGCAGACGTACTCATGTCTTCCCTACGGCATTCGGCCGTACCACCTCAGCGTCACACTCTCCAACATCGCCAACCCTGTGGCGTGCTTCGCCACTTTCTTCCTGAAGTTGACCTCCGTAGCTGGGACTCTGAGCGTCTCCCTGGTGGGCACTGGACTGGCGTCTTTTATCATCCTAACCGCTGCCATGAGCCCTGACCCTCCGCTTGTTGGTCATACCAGCGGCACGTTTCTTGTGGTGAGTACCCCCCCCCCCCCCCCCCCCAATTTAAATGACAATGACAATCTTTATTCATTTCGCAGGGAGAAATTTGTCTTGGGCGTTAACAATGGCTGTAGATGTTACTAAAGTTAGACTTAAAGGTGCACTCAGGCAAAAGCACAAGACAGGACATTAGGCCAAGTAAATACAATATGTCTCACGTGCTGGGACAACCCGCTCCGTAAACTTTCTCTCTCTCTCTATTTGTAGCACTGTGTGTTCAGTAACCTCCCTGCAGTTGATCCGAATGAATTTCTATATCTGTCTGTTCTTGCTTTTTTGGAAATGTATCGTTTACTGCGGGTCGATAGTTGAAATTCCGATGTCAGTGGGTGGCTATGGTCACTAAGCATTATTTCCGCCTTTTTTTGAACGTTTATCTTGTGCAAATATTCAAAGTTACTTAGGTCTCTACCGATTGTTCTTGATGCCTTTCTTATCAACTTGTTTATTTTTATAATGTGCTGCCTTCCCAAATTGCTACCATAGCAAGTGATGCCAAAATTTATCAAAGTTTCTATTGTGGTGGTGTAGTAAATCTGAAGGATTTGTAACACCTCTAATCTTCTGGCGCTCATATGACCTTATGCAGTTGCGAGTGCCGTAAAACCATTACTAAAACTTTAAAAAAGAGTCTTGCACAAAGCAGTCGTTGTATATGTCTTAGTTCTGTGCTATATATATACATTATTTGCTTTTATGTAAGTATGTTTTGTTTCTGTGCTTTGTATTTTCTGTTATTCGCCTTTGTTGACAGTTTTTTGTCTTGTCTTGTGGGTGGTTGGCAGGTGCTCCTCCTTCTTTTTTATGTTTGTTACTCTCTTGTAACACCTCTAATCTTCTGCGCTTATATGACCGTATTGTGTTGCAAGTGCCGTAAAACTCTTACTAAAACTAAAGCTGTCTTGTCTTTTTCAGATACTGGCCTGGGTGCTGGTCGTGTTCTTACTGACCTTCACGAAAGTCTCCATCGCGACCGTGTTCAGAGGAGAAGGAAGAAAAGCTTTGCTTTGGATCGGAGCTTCGACTCAAGTTGGCTCTCTCTGCGGAGCACTCATCACCTTCTTTCTGGTCAATTTCTACAAACTTTTTGAAGTGGGGAATCCTTGTCGCTGAAAGCTGACTTCATAATATAGCTCTGAGGACTTGATCTTCGAGCTGTCATATAATGTTTAATTTGAAACGCTCAGGTCACTGGTTTTGACTTCCAGTTGGAAAAGTTTTGGGGTCCGTAGTGTAAGCTAAAGTAATGCTGATCAGTTTGCTAAGAAGAGCAAGAAAAACCTGCCTTTTCCTCCGTTGAAGGGAAGGTGAAAACCGTAAACTCCTCCAAAAAGCCTCTCAGATCTCGGCTCTTTTCTGGTGGACTGTGGACCAGGTGTGCCATGCTGAGGAATGAAAGCGTTCAGAGCTGCTTAATGGAGACGACTGTAGATGCCTGAGGAGAAATTGTCCCTCTTAATGATGACAAAATGTCTCCTAACTACGATAAAATAAGTAAGTTCACCAGGACATTGGTGACATTTTGAATCACATGTTGGAAGAATTGATAGCATGGGGTTTTTACGGATGAGAGTAGTAGTTCATGTACTACCAAAGTTCATGAAGTGCATGATGGGTCGTCGGGCTGTGTTATGTGATACTGATACATATGTGAGGTATAGTGGTGAAATCAGGCGCTCGTCAAAATAATGAAATCAAAGAAAAAAGCATTTTCCCACCAGTTTGGCAATTTTTATTGAAATTTTGTTTTTTGGCTAAACACCTTAAATATTCATATATGAAAAGACATTGCAATGTGAATTTGACTGAAAACCCTTGTGTAAAGGCACAAATAAGGTATTTTTCAGTTTTCAAGGACTCTTAAGTTATTGAAGTTTCCGAACTTTGGCAGCTGTTTTCTCATTAATTTAACTATTGAAACCAGGCTACCCCACTTTCTTCGATCGCAAATATCTTGACTTCCATGCCAGCTAGGTGGATATTTTTTTAAGTGAACAAGCTTTCGGATAACACCAATAACTCCACATGCCCAAAAATTGACGAGCGCCTGATTCCACCGCGTCGTGACACATATATCGTAGCATTCATGGACTGGTTATTATGTTACTGCCATGTATGTTATCGAAGGGGCATAAGTGAAAGTTTCTATGAAGTCCATATATCAAGCATTACCTCCCTTGATTGATATAAGTTTGGGCCTTGAACGGACAAGAAAATTCCCCGAAACTTCATCTGATTGTACTTTACAGGCTGAATAATTTTTCATTGTGGTGTAGCGGATAGGTGCTTCGCCATGGCATGCAGGAGACCCGAGTTTGATTCCTGAATGGGGAAAATTTTTATTTATAGAGTATCTCGGTCTTTCTGCTGGGATGTTGTATCCCTCTCAGCTTGGGTTGGTCCAGCAGGTAAGGTCGAAGCCTGCCTTGTAAATGATGTAAATTATGTCAATTGGGGTGTCAAAACACCCACATTAATTATAAAAACAACTTACAAAAACCTCATTTTTCTTGCAACAGCAATGGTATAGTCAAAATGCCCATCATGGTATCTTTTTGCTCCAGAATTTTAATTCTAGAGCTCTCTTGTCTTATAAATCCTGCTATGGCCATGGGTCTTTCAATTCAAGGGGTGTCTGTCAGTGTTTCCCCATTTCTTCCTTGTCTGTCTCGTGTCATTTTCCCCATCAATTTGCCATCAAAGTTGTTGCTTTCGTACAAAATGGTGTGTCTCACCATATTATTTTCTAAATACTTTACTTTAAAAAAAATTTCATTTGCTAAAGAGTATTATCTTTTAAATTTCAACTTTTCTTTGCATTTTATTTCATTATTTTTGTTGCGTTTTCCGTGGAGGCCACTGACGGTTAGTCACTTTGCCGTTGCATGCAAAAGACGTTTGTTTGTGTATCAGGGAAGTTATTTAATTGAGTATCGGGCAAGGAAAAGAAATGAAATGAGGCTGTGCTTGAAGTAGCCCACATGGTCCGCTTGCGGATAAAAACATTCAGGAAAATACAAACACAGTTTCTGGGACACTTGAATAGAAGACATAAAGTCCTTGAACATCTAAGGAGCATAAGGAGACGCATTCTTAGTTTCAAAGACGCATGTCTTGTATACTGCTTATGGCAAGTAAAACAGGTAACTTGTATTATATATTGAGGTAGCACACTCATATGACTTTATGCAGTTGCAAGCGCCGTAAAACCCTTACCAAACTAAACAAACCAATATTTGAAGTTCCAGGTCTTGTGTATATTTGTCATTATGTGACAAAGGGCTTTTTTTGAGAAACAAAGATTTTGAAATGACTGTTCTGCGTCGTTGATCAAATTTGAACCGCTCAGGTTACTGTTGTAGTATTTTGCTCAAAATCCCTTCGAGCTTTGAGTTTGTTTTGCTTCTTGGAGGGGCTGAAGAGAATACTCACTCTCCACATTCTTCTGGCTTGTCTCTCAAGTCTCTGTCTGCTCACGATGGGTGGGCTTTGGGAAACTGTATTCCTGCTTTCCCACTTTTTATGTTGCATAAATCAATTTACACATATCGAGATTGAAACATAATTACAAGTGAGAAATATCAAATACTTTGGACTGAATGTTTTTTTGCATGCAGGTTTTTGTTTACATGAAATGACTTGTGTGTTGAATGGTAATAAAACTGTATGGCGTCTATTTTTTTGTTAGAGCTAATGCATTGTGTGTTTCTCTATGCTTGAACTGACCGCCATGAACACAGAAATTCATGTCACATTTTCAGTAACTTTGTGAACTACCTATATGTGCTTTCAATTTTGTTAGTTGGAATGTAATACTCCCCCAGTCCTCTCCTCATCCTTGCAGTTGAAGAACGTAACAGCGTGAACAATCAAATGAAATCAAATGTTTATTTTCTCATGTTCGTTGTTTCTAATATTTCCTTTATTAGGTGATGCTTCAGATTTTATATTGATTATATATAATATTACATATGTGTTATGCTCTATTTTTTGCCTTTGTCTTTGAACATATTTCAAAGAAAGAACAATTGCTGTTCCTGGTGTGTGCTGTGAATTCTTTCCATACTTTGTTGCTTTGTAGCAATATATATATGGCTCAATGGGCACAAACTGTGATTGTTGGAGCAAATGCACAAGTTGTACATCAATGACCCTATCCGTGCGCCCTGGGACCATTAATTGGTCCGCCCAAGGTTGTATTCTTCACACTTTAGAATACTTCTAGTACGAAGATCTCTTTGAAACTTTCAGTATTTCTCAAAAAATCTTTTTTTGACAGACTGCTATGCAAAGCGTACAGATCGGATTAAAGAGTAAATTTCGTCTTTGGAAAGTGGTAGCACAGAGTTCCCCTCGTAGTATGGATACAATAGATAAACACGATGTACGGAAAGGGTTTAGCATTGCCCTCTGACCTTTGACTTAAAAATCTCTCTATTTTTCTTATCACAGCTCATGGCTTTACAGGGGAATCCTGCGAAAAAAAAACCCACTCATACTCATCTTAGCTTGAAGACTGAATAGAATAATAGATTGTACAATCCGCAGAGCCGGAGAATTCACTGGTCTTCAACTGGACCAGTTTCAGGATAATAATAGTAATGATAATTTTGATAATAATAATAATAATAATAATACATTCTTTACTTTTACTTTTTCATCCTCGGTTGCCGTTAAGCGTCGAGGGGAGATACAGTTTCTATGGTAGGCCAGCTCCGCAGCTCTTTCAGTTGTGATGTTTTGTTTTCTTAGGGTTTCCTTGACATCCTCGATCCACCTTTTGCGTGGCCTTCCTCTTCCTTTACAGCCTGAGTGCTTGAATAATGATAATAATAATGATTAAAATGATAATAATAATAACAGTAATATTGATGTTGATGATTATGATGAAATTGATGATAACGATTGTTATGACAATTATAATGATGGTATGATACTGATAATGATAATAACAGTAGTGATAAGAAGAAAAACAATGCTAATAAAAATGGTATTGAATAATATTAAGATAATAATGATAATAATGATGATGATGATGATGATTATAATGAAATTGATGATACTGATTGTAATGGCAATTATAATGATGATATGATAATGATATTGATTCTTCCAATAATAGTGATAATAATAGTAGTGATGTGAAGAAAAACAATACTAATACAGATGATATTAGCTAGTATGATAATAATGATAGTAATTTAAATGATAGTAATAGACTGAATTCATATAGCACGTGTATCTACTCAGAAAAATGCTCCGTGCACTTTACAATGTATGATTTTATCCTACTATTAAGTTACATGAACACGACTTTACAGATTGCCTCAGTAAATTTTCAATCCCAAATTTTGTGTACATTTGTCTTTGACGTACAAATACATATTAGCTGTGGAAGTGTATTTTTTAAGGGTATGAAGCGTTCAGTTAATGGTAGAAAACTACATAATTTGTATACCCGTTGTGCTGTTTTGACACTATTAATTTTTGGAACATGTCTAGGGCACAAGTACATATATGTGATGCGTACACTTTTTCTGCTACAGATGTATATATAGTAAATAGTGAAATGAATTGTTTCTTCTCTTCTTTTTTTTTGGATTCAGGGTATAATTTGACAGTGCAATTTTCTTATTTAAGTACTGTACGTTTTTATTTTTAAAGTTGTTTGTTTGTATCTAATATTAATGCGCTCTGCTTGCTGTATTTTGATATTGGACAAAGAGATTTCACTCTCAATTTACCCCCCGGGGCGGTGCCACTGACTGAAGTGTCTTTAGGCCATTCCCAAAGGGGGGAATATTTCTTGTTCATGCACAGTAGAATTGTAAATGGGCTGATTCATCAATGTCATGCTCATAACTGTGCCTGATCTACAACAGGGAACTGCTGCTTTTTCTTTCCTAATCCTTACTATTGTCATTTTCCTCTACTTCTTTTGTATGTTTGTCACACTCTTGTGACCCACTATTTCCGGGGTGCCTTGATAGTTGAAGCAGACCTTGAGCTGTTGAAGCTAGAGAGTTGAGCAGAGTAAGTCTGATTCCCTGTAAGGACTTCTCTTTGGACATCCACCCCTTGGCGCTCATATGACCTTATGCAGTTGCGAGCGCTGTAAAACCTCTACTAAAACTAAAAAACTCTCAGTTTTCTCTTTATGTTTAACGATTTTGCCTGCTCTGTGTCACAGAAACATGTGTGAAATACAAAATGCTGATCTCAGCTTTCCAGCTATTTTTGTGATGTGTTATGAATATATATATTTGTAAAAATGTTATTTTATCATGATTTTTATTTATCTTAGTCTCCACAATAGAGTTTGGTCATAAATCACGCTGCAATCTATTGAGCTTACTTCAAATTGTTTTATTTATACTCATTGATCTGTATTTTGAGGTTTATGTAATAAGTCTCTCCTATAGTTTTGATTTTCTTGGGTTTTTTTCTTGAAAGCGGATGATATGTTTGAGAAAATTACATATATGGGAGGTGTAGGTTGTTTTTTAAAATAATTATTTTTCTTTTAAATATTTCTATAAGACTGCACAGATTTTTTTATCATTCCAAAGACTTCGCTTTTGTGTCATGCTTGAGTTAAAAAGGTTTAATTTTAGCTTCCTGTTTGTTTATTTTTATGTTTTTTAGAAAATGCTTTGCTTTGTAAAAATGCAGTATTTTCATAGTCAGGACTTTTGGAAATCTCTTTTATGACAATTGTTTGCTTGCTTTGAAAGAGATGTGTTTGATTTGTGCATGCAAGTGTACAGTACATGTACAAGTGATAGTGTGCAGTCAGTTTACCGTGGATAATATTCATCATGATCAAAGAGGTTACATTCAATACTTAAGTTCGTGGCAGTGATGTCCCCCACATAAATGAACGGGTGCTGTGTGTGCTCACTCTGGGATGCT